ACTCAAGACCATACTCATAAATGAAATAAATCAGACCCATATGTGTACACATCGTATTGTCTCAGTAGTGTGAAAAAACAAAGAAGTAAATAAGATCTGAAGTGTACAATAGATATTGTGAATTCGGCAGAAACTGTTCAAAAGAAAAGACAAACTGGGATGGAGAAAGGGAAAATGAAGAAAGGAAAAAACATGTACATACAAGATACTTAAGATTGTTATAAAGCTAGTTTCTCTTAGTTCATTAAAAAGAAAGTTTTGTGCTAATATTCTATGGACATGATAGGGTGCATATATCTTCTGAATAATTACTAGGAAGATGACAATACACAATGTATCAACTACTGTAACTGTCCTAATAACTTGTTTTGAAACTTAGTTTCATTGTTTTGCTTACCTTTTTTTACAAAGGAAGGAACAACTGCGATGGCAGAAAGGAGAAAAGATGAAAGGGAAATATATATATATATATATATATACATAGCTAAGATAACTGTTCTACTAATTTCCACTGGTTTATTGAAAGTAACAGTTAATGTTTAATTGCTTGATCAATCTTGCATTCTTACATCTGGTAATCTGAGCAACTTCGTTGAAGATAACAATATGTAATATAACAACCACTGTTAATTTCCTATCATTGTTTTGAAATTCTGTATCATTTGTATTGTTTTTGTGTTGTTTTGTTGTTGTTATTTGTTTTTGTTTTTTTTCTCTTTAAAATAAAAAAGAGATACATGCATTCGGAAGAGAGAAATAAAACTACTTTTGTTCATAGATAACATGATCAACTGTGTGAAAAATATAAAAGAATCAATAATAACCAGAAAAACTCCTTCTGGAAATGATATGTTACCATTGTTAGGTTGTGAGGTATAAGGGTTAATATACCAAAGCCAGTTGCTTCCTATACTAACAATAAACAAGTGAAATCTCACACTTAAAATACATTATCATTTATATTAGACCAAAATGGAATATTTAGGTATAAATCTTTTAAAACATATAGGACCTATATAAAATAAATTCTAAAACTATGATGAGAGAAAAGAATATGCTGAGGTATACCATAGTCATGTATAGGAAAACTCAATATTTCAAGACTGTCAGCTTTTTCCAGATTGATTTATAAATTCAAAGCAATCTCAACAAAAATCTCAGCAGTCTATAGTGTGGCTATCAACAAACTGATTCTTAAGTTTCTATAGAGAGGAAAAAGTCCCAAAACAATAAACAGTATCTATAAGCTACAAAACAAAGTTAGAATAATGATTTCACCCAACCTCAAGATTTAGTATAAAACTCCAGTATTCAGAATAGTGTATCACTGACAAAAAAAAGAGATGGGTAGATCAGTGAAACCATTTACAGAGCCAAAAAACAGACCCATACACGTGTAAATACAATTGACTGATTTTAAAGAAGGAAAGTCAATAAGATGAAGAAATTACACAGTTGTTTAGATTGATGGTGCTGAAATACCTGGGCATCCATAGCTAAAATTATAAAACTCTCAGAGAAAAACTTGTAGGAAAAGCATAATGGCCTTGAAATTGACAGTGATTTCTTGGGTATGACACCAAAAGTCTAAGTGAAAAAAAAAACATCAGTTATAGTTCATTTATTTCAAAAACTTGCATATTAAAGGAACCTAAAAAGACCTGAAATGCAACTCACAAAAAGGGAGAACATATTTGTAAATTATCTAATAAGCAATTGATATCCAGAATATCTAAAAGCTCCTTCTATCCATCAGCAGTTAAAACCTAATAATGTGCTTGACATTTGCACCTTGACATTCACAGAAGGATTATTCACAGTACCTAAAACATGCCAGCAAAGCAAATGTCTATACTGGACGAATAGATATGCAAAATATAATATATAGGGACATTATTAGCCTTAAAAAGAAAGAAGGTTATTTCTTTCAAAATTTAAAATTTTATTATTGGAAATATGATTACTTGGCTTCACTCAGTTTCATTCAATAAAAAATTACATATCAAGACAATCATAATTATCTTTAGAAGTATTCATTAACCAGCTATTAAATGTTGAAATCCTTCAAGGCTTTAATCTAACTGCTTATGTTTGCACACTCTGAAGCGACATAAGGGAAATATTCCACACCTAGAAATCAAGGTCTAGTAGTATATGTCTAATCCCACCTGCTCAAGAGGCTGAGGCAGGAGGATTCCAATTTCAGAGCTTGCTTGTACAAAATAGTAAGATCTTATCTTAAAAATAAAAATCGACAAAAGACTGAGACATAGCTGTGTTAGAAAAATCATAAGGCCCTGTGTTCAGTGGCTAGTACTACAAACCAGAATAAAATAAATGACCAAAAAAGAAATTCTTCTACATACTACAACATGGATGAACCTTAAATATATTGTGCCAAGTGGAATAAGCCTTACAGAACAGGACAAATGTGTAATTCCACTTATGTGAGGCACCCATTCTAGTCAATGGGTACACAAAGTAGAACAGTGGTTGTCAAGGGCTGGGGGAAAATATAGGATGTTACTGTGTAATGAATAAAGAGTTTCAATTAGGAAACTTAAGGCTGTGAAAATGAATGACTGTATTGTCTTTACAATGTGAATGAACCTACCACCATAGAACTCTACAATTAAATTGGTTTATAATAAATTCTGTCATATACACCTATTTTTACCACAGTACAAAGTTAAAATGAAAAATAATTGGTTATCAACAGTATACCATATTTTTGATGAGAATATTCCTGAAAATCTTTGAAATTTTCTTTGGGATATTATAGGAAAAAAGTTCAAAATTGTTTTGGTAGAAATAAGATTACTTGGCTTCACTCAATTTTGTTTAATGAAACAAAAATATTACCTGTCAAGACAATCATAACTTACCTATAGAAGTACCAGTACCCAGTTATTAAACATTGAAATCCTTTAAGGCTCTAGTCTACCTATTGTTTGTACACTCTACACTGACATGAGGGAAATTCTCCCATATCTAGAGCTTCAGCTATCATTTACATGCAAACAACTAACAAATTTGTACCTTAAGTTATCTAACCAAGATAATTTTTTTCATTTCTCAAAGTTACACAAACTTGACATGTCCATGTCAAAGGCATGATCAGCAAATCCATACTTGATTATTTCCTTCCTATCAACTGAGTAAGCCATAACACCAGGAGCTTAACTCTACATTCCATATCTTATTATGTGCTCCGACGGCACCACATATATACTTCCTTCTATCACTTGTCCCTGCTCTTCTATATTCATTTCTCTACTTGATTAATGTCTATCTCTCCTACTGGAGAACACATGTTCAGTGGACTTAATTTTTACACATAATCATATTCTCAGAATATAGCACAGTGAGTGCTCTGTACATAGTTGTTTAATACATATTTGTTGAATGACTAAAACTTTAAACTGTGAACAAACAGTTATGAAACAGAATGATACAAGCATTTTGAAAAATACAATTCCTTTATTTTGAATCTGTGTATACCATTTTGTTTGCTTTGTTTTTGGTACTGGGAACTGAACTCAGGACCTTGCACTTGCCAGGCAGGCCCTTGTGCCACCAAGCTATATCCCCAGCCTGAATCTGTGTATATTAATCTTGTCAATTATTAGACTGAGAACCCTGAAGAGATGATTGGATCATGGAGGTACCATACACACCAGTGGATTTAATTACTGGTGCTCATAACTGATTGCTGTTAGGAGGTGTATAGCTCAGCTGGAAATGGGTCACTAGGCCTTTGGAGAGAATGCATCTCACTGGTTCTCTTTCCCTGTGCTCTGCTTCCTCAGCACCATGAACTGAACAGCTTTGCTTCACTCCCTTACACCATGTTTCTGCCTTGTAGCCAGCCAACCACAGGTTAAACCTTTGAAACTATGAACCAAAGTAACCTATTTCCTCCTTTTAGGTGTTGAGTATTATGTCCTTGCAACAGGAAAACTGACCAATACACTATATGTATAAAGATGAGAGTTATTCCTCATGTAGACTTACCGGCTGCAGTTTAACATTCACTTTCAGATTCCTAAGGTCAATGTCTTCAGTTCTGGATCTGTAGTTTGGTGACATCTTCCAAATGTAAATGACTTTTATGAATCTTCTTAGCTGTCTAGTAGAATGTTTCCTATATCTGTTAATTCTCATTAGTACACTAACTTCTTGCCTGAAAAATATGAAATATTTGATGCTCACAAATCAGAGTGGAGGTGGAGGTCACTGGAATGTGAATGAAAGTGACAAAATGGGACAGTTTATCACAGGACTCTAACTCCACTATTTAACTCCTGTTTTGCTTACTGGTTTCAAATTAGTTTAGTGCCTGAAATCTCTTTCAGCAAAAATAGACTCAGTATTAAAAATAGACTCAGTATTAAAAACACCTGTAGTACAAATTTTGTCAGGATTATATGAGGAAATGCCCCTGAATTATTTTTAAACTTTAAAATAACACAAATGTACGTTATTCCAATGTGACTAGTGTTGGAATAAATTCTAAAATGGCAATGGAAATGCGAAGGTACTTTTCAGACAATGACTTATACTTAGTAACTATTTTTTACTGTGTGTTTCTACCTTGTTTGGAATTGTTTTTGAAATGGACTGGTTGCAGAAAAGACAGCCATAGCTTTCAAAATAAAAAAGGGGGAAGAGCACTTTTAAAATCATACATCTAGGGGCCTGGGATGTATCTCAGCAGCACAAGCGCCTGCCTGGCAAATGCAAGGTCCTGAGTTTGATTCCCAGTACCAAAAAAAAAAAAAAAAACAACTCATACATCTAGGCAGTCTGTTTTCAGTCTGTGCTTGTATGTAGTACAGCTTCTTGGGAACACCAAATTCTTAACTCTCTTGTCAAAGGATCTGCCTCAGTAAGTAACGGGAGCGGGAGGCTGGGGGGGGGGGGCGAGGGTTGACTAAGTGCTCCTGGCCTCCTGTGAGCCCGGTTCTACTTCACAGATTGCGTCACAGTGCCCCTTCCTGAGTACGCGATTATGAGGTCCCATGCAGTCTCCTCTATATAAAGCCCTAAAACCCAGCTCCTCAGCGTAGTCCCAGTTGCACCAAAAATTGAGGGACACCCAGCACGCTGGCCCGCGCCTTCCCCACTCTGCGGCGTTAAGCGGCCCCTACTTCCCAAGGTCAAGCCCTAACCTCGGCCCGAAGAAGAGACTGAAGACGAACCATGACCATCTTTCTGTTCCTAGTGATCGGCCTCGTGTTTGCCTGCGTATTTGCCTTCTGGAAAAACCGATTTGAGGCAGAGGTAAGTGAGACTGGAGTTACATGAAGCTAGCTAAATATGAAGATTCGAGGAGTGAGTTTGTGGGCTGATGGAAATAGTAAAATAAAAATATGCCCTTATATTTTTCTCTTGAAAGAGCCCCAGACTTTAGCGACTGTGCTCTTCCCCCTTAAATCCACATTTTCACCAGAGATTTCAGAAAAAAGTCCAGCCAAAAGTACCCACTGCCCGCCACCACATCCCATTTTAAGAATCTTGCTCCCTTTCACTTGTTTTGCTCACACTGTTTGGTCCTCCTGACGTTGTAGTGAGAGCTTTCTGGATACAGTGTTCACAAACATTTCAGGTCCGAATGTGTGTTTCCTGGTGTTATTTACACTTGCAAGTGAAATTCTATTATATAAGGGTCAAAGACAGGGTCGATATGTAGAATTACTGTACTACTCAAGCATATAAACAAAGAATATAGTAATTTGGTAATTCAAGGCTACTTTGGTATTTTTCTCCTCAGTCATGTGTCTTGGCAGAGCATACTACGGAATCAGCATAGTTATTCACATTCTTAATCTCCAATTCTTAGGAAAAATCAGTCCATTCTTGTAACCAAGTTGTTATTTGGTAGTATTTGGAAATCCCTAACCTCAGCAAACTATATATGTATAATTTTCTTTACAGAAAAACATCGGTGAAATGTCATCAAATTCAACTGCTCTTGCTCCAATAAGAACAACTACTTGGTCAACTACTGCTTTTGCTCCAGAAAGCAAAACTTCTCCTACTTGGTTACCTAGGGGCACTACTGATAGGCTCTCAGTCAACAGTCTTTCTCAGGATATCTTAAATAACTGCCCTTACTCAATATCCACGCAGAAGCGAATATTGGTAAACCTCAGGATTGTGGAATACAAGCTGGTTGAATTGGAACATTTCCTAATCATCAAAGGCCTCGATGGTTCATTAGGTAATAGGAAATTCACCACATAGGTTGCAAGATGTGATGCTGATACAGGCAATCATTAAAAGCAATTGAGTTGATTCAGTTGAGTATGTGTTTATACTGAATGGATTATTATTTAAAAGGGGAGGGGATGCCAAGTCAGATACAAAATCCAGACCTTTATCAATTTGCTCACTCATATTTTATTTAAATGACTCATTACCTAAAGTCGCTAATATACATTCTACTGGAGTAGGAATACAAACACAATATATAAAAGAAAATCAGTTCAAAGTTTGTTTTTTAAAAATAAACAGCAATAACACATATTGAGTATAATTTTTTTCTAATTATAATTTCATTCAATTGAAACACTAAAGGCTTACGGTATAACACTGCAATTGCCTACAAGTCTGCATTAAAGTGAAAAACAATTTCTCTAGTAGTTTATAATATAATACTGTAGTTGTCTTCAAGTTTGCATTAAAGAAGTTGAATTTCATGAAACTTTTTTCTATTATGCAGAATACTCTTTCTTGCTATTGCTGAATCTGTGTAACAACTATTAAGAGCTATCACTGGGCAGCTTACAACGTCAAACACTCCATAAAGATTTGTATTGTTTGTTCTTTTATCTTTAAAGTAAAAAATAAAATAATATAAAGTAAAATAAAAAGATTTGTGTTGTTCACACTTGTGAACATAGTGACACAAACTACTCTTTTGGATCCGCTTTTGAAAAAGATTGCTTCTTCATTATATATCTCTTTTCCCAACTAGATAGTCTTTCATTTAAAATGTGCCCACATTCTCCCTGTGGTCAGAGTCACCTGTGCAAAATGGTCTTTTTTATTTGGAAAAAGTTCAAACCTCAAATAGCACCAAAATAGAGGGACAGAATGCATGTAATTGCAATATAGGTTAAAAATTACAAAAATGTATTTCTAACTTCTAGTCAAACATCTCTTCCAAATAATATTTTTAAAGTCCAGTATAACTAGGGAATTAATCTCTTGAAGTTCGCTAACAATATTTGACATATCCTAAAAAAAAAAACCTTCAAATTATCCAACATGAGTTTATCTTATGCACATATATATGTCTGTTTATGCACATTCATGCTTCCTCCCTTCCAAATAAATTCTAGGGGCTGGGGATATAGTTCAGCGGTACAAACATCTACTTGGCAAGCACAAGGTCCTGAGTTCAATTCCCGGTACCAAAAAGAAAAAAAAAAGAAGTAAACCTCAAATAAATTCTAAAAGTGCCTGAGCCTTGACTCCTTTAATGTTTGATCAAGAAGAGGAAAACAATTTAAAATATGTAAGAAAAATCATTCCTTCTATTTTCACTTGCCAAGAACAAAAATCCAGCAGTAATATATGCACTTCTTAGATGCTTTTAAATTATAGATCCATTTGGCATTGTCATTAAACTATAGACTCCCTACAAATGTATGTACATGTACAAATAGAAAATGATACATATAATTTCAATGTTGTAATTCCTAGATGCCTAGGTTAAGAACCTTATTAATTGTTGAAATGTTCTTTATATATTTACACAATATTTATCATCCTAGGTTGTGATATTTGAACCAAATGTCAATGATACATAATAAAGTATAAAAATATTAATGATACATTGCAATATCATTTGTAAGGAAACTAGGTCATACAACCTTCATTTTTGACAAGTCTGGCAAGTTTACTTCCTATTACTATGTAAATCAGCAATCACCCATAAGCAATAACTTACATGAGACAAAATAATTTTTGATCTATTATCTATATATCACCATCACAAAATACTTGATAAAATGAAAATCATTATCTCATTAACATTTTATCAGTATCCTGTGTAAAATTAAAACTAAAATTTGTAGAATATAATGAAGTACTCAATTTTGTGAAACAATAGAAATTAGTCACATAATAGCATTCTTCAACATAACCTAAGGAAGTCAGTAATAGAAAGAAGTATTCAAAACTTCAAAACTTCTTCATCCCATTTTCTAGATCTACCCAGTGTTAAAGGATCCTTACTTCCTTTCTGATTTCATTCTTTGTAAAGAAAGTATTTAACTATCAAGTTTGTAAATGAAGACCATGAGTCACATAGGATTATGAGTCACCAATACATGAAATTTTTAGATGTATTGGTGTCAAGAGTACTAAACTATGTCACTCATACACACAGTCCACTTAGTTCCATACATATAACATTTTCACTGAACTAAAATCTTGAGTTTGGAACACTTACTTTTACATGTACTGATTCATTTTCCTTTGAGAAAGAGTGTGCAGAGTGTGCATTAAAAAAAAAGAATCAAAAAGAAAGAAAGAAAGAAGGGAAAAATATGTTAAGATAGTTGTTCTACTGATTTCTATTGCTTCATTGAAAGGAACAGTTAATGTTTAATTGTTCAATCAATCTTACATGCCTACATTTGTTTTTCTGAGTAACCAATTTAAAGATACCAATATGTAATACAACAACCATTGTTAATTTCCTATCACCTTGTCTGAAAATCTGTATTGCTTGTATTATTTTTGTGTTATTTTTTAAATGTCTGTGTGTCTGCTAATGTGTTTTTGTTTGTTTATCTTTAAAATTAAAAAAAGAAAAAGGAATCATAATATTTTAAAATTTGCATAATAAAAAACTATTTTCTAAGTAATCAGCTCAAAGCTTTCAATGTATCAGAAGAAACATTGTGGTAATATTTATTTTAAAATTTCATTGTGAAATAGTTATGTGTATATTAGACAAGTAACTAATCTTAAAAGATATATAGTAACATTGCTAAACATTAATAAATTCACATTTGATATTACATTCCTGCTTAAGTGGGAAAAACATTTGTCATATGGTGAACATAGAATGTTCATTTTTCTATTCAACATACAAATAAATAAAACTTTCCACTATTCTAAACAATCACACTATACAGCACCCACATATTTTCAAAATTTTGTTTCAGTCAGCGTTCTCCGAACAGGCACAACAGTTGTTTCAGGGCCAGGCTGTGCAGTAAGCTCTACCATTCCTTGATACCTTCCCTGACGATGTCGTTCAAGATATGGCCCCCAGTTAGAAGCTGGCCTAAGGGAGCTTACAAAGCGCTGAAATTCAAAAGGAAAAATATTTTTCTTATAATTTAAGTGCTATAATCCATAAACAGCCCAATATTGAATTATACTCTCATTTTAAAATTTTAAGTTTGTTCGTTAAGAACACTGAATTAAGAATCACAGAAAAGTAAAAAGTGATACTCTAAATTCCTACTAAGGCGTAGTCTACTAAGAAGGAATTGCAATCAAATAAATTGTTATGAATTGTCAGTGGAATTGTACTATTATATCACAATGACTGTGGATATGAATTATTTCAGAAGAAGGTGATATGAACCCGTTAGAGTAACAGTGTCCCTATAGTACCTTCACTGTATTCTCAAATATTTAAGGTGAGAGTGAGGTGAGAATTTAAAGTAGTGTGTAGTGGGTTGTGCTTCTAGAAGCAGAGAAAGGGAAATCCACTGTTAAATCTTTCATTTAAATCCATTCTTGGGTGGGTCAAACCACTGACTTAAATCCATTCTTTGATGGGGTTGGGAATGTATTTCAATAAAAATCTCCTGAGCTTATCTTGTTTTTTTCTAGTAACACGTCATAATCGACTCTACCTCTCTAAGCCTCCATGGAAGAAGAATTATAATGTATCTAGCTCATTCCAATCGAAACAAACTATTAGGACTTGTATTAAGCACATCATTAGGACTTATAATCACATAAGGCATCAAAAGTAGAGAGTATAGATATAAAAACCAAATGACTCAATTGCTTTGTGACATTTTCAAGGACAATTCAGTACAAATACAGAGGTATAATTTACCCACGAAGCACTATAATAGAGCCTGAAGATACAGCAATGAGCAAGACGAGACTCCCTGCAAAAGGAGCATATAGCATAATACAAAGAGACACATAAATACATATAGAAAACAAGGTTGTGCTTTGGTAACAGATGATTATATCTAGTAGAGAAGTAGTCAGTGGAAAGACTGATTAATTTGATCTCATATAATCTCACATTATTGCCATGTAAGTAAATTTATTTTCATTTTTATCAAAAGTACTTTACATAAACTCTTTAAAAATTTATTTATTTATTTATTTGGTTTTTCTCCGGTACTGGGAACCAAACTCGTGACCTTGCGCTTAGCCAAGCAGGAGCTTTTGCCACTGAGCTAAATCCCCAGCCCCTCTTTAAAAATTTAAATTGCTTACTTGATAGATAGTTCCTCGGGCCAGAACTATTTTTATGATAGCCATAACTGGAATCCAACTGACACAAAAGACAATCATGATCCATCCAATGCCATTAGCCCAGGCAGGGAATGGAATTCCAGCATACTCGGGCTTACGAAATTTGACCAATGACCAGATTAAGATTATCTATGAAAGTAAAATATGAAGAAACCTAACAATTAGACTGTACAAATGATTAGCAGTTTGATTCCATTGCTAAGAAGTAATTTATCAAAACAATTAAAATGAAAATACAAAAACTAAAATAATCAAATAACAAGCCAGAAGTTAACAAAATGAAATGAACCATGTGTGTTTTTTCTTTGAATAAATTCTACCAAAATTAATAATTCTATATATTTATGAGATGAATATTTGGTTCAATGTACAGTATATTTCAGTAAAATACTTGCCCATATAACAGACTGAAAGTAAAATGAATATGAAATATTTCGTTATTAAGACTCTTTTTCTTTTCCCTTTTTATTATTAGCACAGTATATGGTACATAATATGTACACTTGTATTGGAGAACTGGGACATACACGTATCACATCTTGATGCTGTTTACTTCCCCTTCCACTCCATCCTGTCTTCCTCCAGCCTGTTATTGAGAATTACTGAGATTTCAACTTTCTTTTTCTATTTAATTTGTTTTTATTTATAATTTGTAAATAAAAGCACAAATGTATATATTAGTGAATGCACTGTGTGTTGTTTTGACACATGCAAACATTGTGCAATGTTTAAGTAAGATTGCATATGTATTTTTCCAAGCATTTATCATTTCTTTATGATGAAATTTTCAAAATTGTTTCTCATTTTTGAAATGTACAGTACATTATTGTTATTGGTAATAACCATAGCACGCCAGAGCTTCTTGCTTCCACCTAACAGTAACTTAGTATGCCTTAATCAACCTCTCCCTGTCCCTCCTCACCTCACCCTCTGCAACTTCTGGTAACCCACCATTCTGCTCTCAATTTTTTTGAGATCAAATTTTTACATTCTATGTGTAAGTGAGACCATGTCATACTTCCCTTTCTGTGTCTGGTTTATTTTACTTAACATAATGATCTCCTGTTCCATTCATGTTGTTGCAAAGGACAAGGTTTCATTTTTTATGGCTAACTAGTATTTGTTTTCTATGTATGTAACATATTATCTTTATCTGCTCATCAATCAATGGACATTTGGTGGTTTTCATTTCCTGGTTATTGGGAATAGTGCTGCGATGAATAGGGGAATGCAAATGTATCTTTGACATAATGATTTCCCTTCCTTTGGAGATATCCCCAGGAATAAGATTGCTGGCAAGTATGTGGCAAAAAACTAAGCCCTTGCAAATTATTGGTAAGAATGTCAATTAGTACAACCATTATGGAAACCAGTAGGAAAATTCTTCAAAAAATTAAAAATAGAACTATCCTATGATCCAGGAACCTCACTACTGGGTATATATCTGGGGAAAATTATCTTTCCTTTATAATCAAATATTTTTATTGTATGCCATAGATAAATATATAGTATACCAAGAATGTAAAAGTACTTTCTTCCTGGACACACTTGTCTTCCTGCTTAGAGTTTTTCTATTACTTTTCACTATGCAGAGCACCTATTTCATTACTACAAACCATGCATGGATTTCCACATGCACTAGCAGAGCATTTCTACCAAAGCATGCTTCACTTCCAGCCTCTTATTGTGAAATAAGCAAAATTTGCAAGTAACACAACAAAATATGAACCTTAAAAATGGAAGCACTTTAAATCCAGGTTATAAAAAATGTTTTTAAAAACCTAACAGACATTTTGAGGCATTAAAACTACTTTAAAATATGCAAAGCAAAATAAAACAAAATAAAAAAAATCCCTAGTAATTTCCCTAAAATTGGCCATCTTTGTTTTAGCCCAAGAGAGGGAAAGAGAGAAAACAATGGATTCTAACAGTCTTTATAAACAGATATTCAAGTACAATTTTAGATGTGAGTGGATTAACTCCATTAAATTAATTTACCTATATAATTTAAATGTACTTCACAATTGTACATAATTATAAGAAAATGAATGAGGGACAGTGCAGTCTAATATGTACAATTTTATGTAAGATAGATGACAATGTGTATCATTATATTTAATGCTTTTGTATTTAAAGTAAACCCTATTGTCAGACCTATGAACTGAATGAAAACTAGCAGATTAAGAAGTCTAGTGGGGCCAGACAAGGTGGTGCATGCCTGTAATCTCAGCACTCATGAGGCTGAGGCAGGAGGATCACTGTGAGTTCAAGGCCAACCTGGGCTACCTAAGCGAGTTCAAGGCCATTCTGAACTATATAGTAAGACCTGGTCTCAAAAAAAAAGTCTAGTGGGATCCTGGAGGTTGACAAGGGGCTTCTTATACAGATTTTTAAAAAGAAGAAACTGACATTTGGTGGCACTATTGAAGACATTTAGTGAGAATATGGAAAATATAAATATTTTAATTCATCACATCCAGGCCCAAACTACTCACTACTTGAAATAGATCTCATAATTCTAAAAACATACATAAAACCTAACACCTAGTAAAAGCAATCAAATGTAATGCTTCTGATGCAAAGCAAATCCTAGATCAAATTACTTAATAGTCTCTTCTAGGAAAAGCTTTGAAACATGAAGGCAATGAGAACAAAACATATGTATGAAACTTTGCCACCACCCCAGCCCCACCATTAATTCTAGTCCATAACAATATTCCATCCCATGAAGTGTTCGTTTTGAGACTAAAGTCCTTCCTTTGTTGAACTGTTACTTGAATACTTCATGTTATTACACCATTAAAACATCATTTGCTTTCCCTCAGATTCTAAACAGTGCCAATTGTTGAATGTATTAATGTAAAACCACTGCCTCTATTGACACCTGTGTTTCTCATTATAATTTCAGAAACTTAATATGTCGTTGATAAATAGAAACAATATATTGTCTCTTATCAATCAGACTATTTAAAATGAACTCCTTAAATGTGTCATTTAGGCTTTATGTGTCTTTGTACTTGCTGGAAATGGAAGACAGATTAAGAACATCATTGGCAACTAAGTATATCTTTTAAGGAATGAACAGATTATTTCTTTTCATACATCCTACTGATAAATTTTAACTTTGCTACTTTTTGAGTCTATAAGAGGCTCTTTATATTCTAAATGTTTAAACCCATTACCTGAAAAATAAAATTGCAAAGGCATTTTAATTTACGCACTTTGGCAATAGTGATAAACATTGCAAAACCTAAAATAATTCCTGTATGTTACTTTTTCTTATTGCCCCCAATATCAACTATTCACCAAATTTATCTTAGGAACATTTACTCAAATAGATTATTGTTTCTAAATTAGTGATGTATTATTAACTTACAGATAACAGGACAGGTGTAATGACAAACCAGCAAAATTTCCACCATAACCAGAATCCCCTCGACTGTTGTCCAATCATCATTTCTATATCACTAATGAATCTGTTGCCTCCTAAAGAAAACAATAATAGTGGTAATGCTCATAGTTTCCTCAAATAATCATTGTCACCCAAATTACCTTTCTATATCTAAATACACTGTTAACCATAATGAAGCATATACCTACAAATAATTTTCTTCAAATTATGTTTTGGCAAATATATTTTAAGATTATAGGGGCTAGGGATTTAGCTCAGCGGCAAAAGCGCCTGCCTGGCAAGCGCAAGGTCGTGAGTTCGGTTCCCGGTACCGGAGAAAAACCAAAAAAAAAAAAAAAAAAAAAAAAAAAAAAAAAAAAGATTATAATAGTGTAATTACTGAAATACAATTGTATAAACATAAAGTAATAAAACTAAGCAATTTTAATAAAACTTGTGAGTCATTCTCTGATCTTTATTTACCATAAATCCAGATGATTCCTCCTATTTCCAGTATTGCCGCTACCAAAATTCCCCACCCAGCACAGAAATGATCCAGAAGCAGCACCCAGTAATTTCCGGCCTAACAAAAAAAAAATTTATTATTTCTAGAAATATTTTAATTCTCTTTATATTTGATGAAGTGTTCAAATAAGATCAATTAATTTGAATTTAACACATTCTCCCTAGTTTCAGCTGTTAAAATATGAAAAAGAGTATTTTAAATATCAAACATCTTACATTCTAGAGAGTCATTTAGAAAAGTTAGTCATCAAAAGGGTTTGCTGTGTCTGTATATTTTGTAGTAGCTTCCAAGATACCTAAATGTGTAAAGTCTCTAATAGTATTACATTTGAAGAAACTGTTATCTTCTTCTACAAAATATACTTATTAACAAAGTGACAGTGATCCAAGTAGTTTGTAGACTTGGCACTAAACATTCCTTTGTCTCCTTTTTCTTTTAGATTCTAGAGTATTTTTCTCACTAGTATTTCTCTATGAAAAGAAAAAGCTGCAATATACCTCAGTCACGCAGGTGAGACCACACAAGAAAAGAGCCAGGCAACATCCTAGTGTTGTGGGCACTCTCCACTTCCTCATTAACGAGGGGAACAGGTCGGAAATTGTTGTTGTGATTGTTTCTTCAGAGGAAAAAATGTGGCATGTTATATGTCACCTCAATAACGTTCATCACACAATTCAATTTTCAACTTCTCTTTCAAGTTACAAATAATTTCAACTTCTACTACAAATATATATAGAAAATATGCTGATTTATTTTTTTTTTCTTTCTTTTTTTTTTTGGTTTTTCTCCGGTACCGGGAACCGAACTCACGACGTTGCGCTTGCCAGGCAGGCGCTTTGCCGCTGAGCTAAATCCCCAGCCCAAAATATGCTGATTTAAAATAATCCATAGAGTCCTTCCTCCTAATGGTGACCACTTGTTGATTTTACTGAAAATCAAAAGCAACTGTATTTGTTGTCGTAAGTCTGCTTTATAAAGTTTTTTTTTAACTAATGGCGACTATAATGTAACCAGGCCTCAGAAGCTGAAGTAGCTTTAAAAAGACTGACAGGAAAGGAAGAATTCCTACAGGACTTACATCAGGTGTCTATTTTAATCAGAGCCATTTAGAAAATAACCAAATAAACGAAAGGAAAATAAGTAACATAGAGATTAAAAAACATTCTATGTTTAAGAAATAAATGTAACCACTAAGTAGGGAACTGTCTCAGAGCAGAAAGACTTATAAGTGATTAAGTGATATGTTAGAGATTTTCCAAGGGCTTTGAAAGTCAACCAGAAGAAAGTGGACTTCATCATGTCAACAGAATAAACTATGACAATATTTTTTATGTGAAAAAATAATATGATAGAAATTGTTTCAGAGTTTTCTAGTTTTGTATCTTAGGGAAAACGCCTAAGTGTAAGTAGAGTCAGAAATAACAGTCATTGCAGCAATGTGTGTAATTAACAAAAAAGGAATGCAAACAACCATCAATCCGGCACCAGACTGTTGATGAAACTGATTTACATGTTTATGTGTCTACATGGATCCATAATGCATATAAAATAACTGTCAAAGTAATATGTGTGCTATGTAACTTCACATTTCATATTCACTTAAATACAAAATATTTCAATTTTATATTATTCATGGGTATATAAACAATGTCTACAAACATGGACCAAATAAAACACAATCCATGATGATGGCTGACGCTAGGAAAAAATGTGAATTACATGAGTGAAAGAAATGTAAGAGACTTAAGATACATCAAATTCACCTACAACAATTTATTTTCTAAATATATCTGAAACAAATGTAAAAATATTTCTTTTTTAAATTAAAAATTAATTCAGAAAGATCATACTGAGTGTAACAGCTATAGGAAGTAATAGAAGTAGGAAAAAGGTGTTCAAGGAAACATGAATAAAATCTGAGGGTTTTGTTAACACTGAAAGTACATATTACTTACCGATGGTGGCAAACTGGGAATCAAGACCCAAAGTTAAAAGCATGATGAAAAATAATACGGACCAAAATTGAGCTCCTGGAATTTTGGCTAGAGCTTCTGGATAGGCAATGAATGCTAAATCAAAGCCTAAAAACAATACAGTATTTTAGGTTAGTTGCCAAGAAAATTCACATTTTTACCTTCATAATTGTATTTTTAAAATTCTTATCAGCACATCTTTCCAGTGCATAGTGATTACATTCATCTTGGGGAGTTATACATGTACATAGCACAGAGTCATTCTTTTTTCATCCCCTCCCCCTCCACTCTATCCTACTCCCATCTCTTGGTCCCCTTCCCTTTTGCAAAAGGTCTACCTCTGTTTCCTATCATCTATCTTTTGTTTTTGTATTTCATTTACTTATATATTTTGGGTTTCTCCTATAAGAGCGTCCATGCAATATTTAAGCTTGTGTTTCTGATTTATTCACTTATTATTATCATCTCAAGATGCATCCATTTTCCCACAAATGATTCAAGTTTATCCTTTTGAAAATTAAAATAGGGACTGGGGATTTAGCTCAGCTGCACAGTGCCTGCCTGGCAAGCACAAGGTCCTAAGTTTGATTCCTTGTACCAGAAGAAAAACAAACAAAAAAAAAGAAAACTAAAAGAGTATAAAAATCTCATCTTCCTTGCAGTGTAATCTGTGACATGCAATCTTTACCAACTATCTCTCTTTTGCTTTTTAAAATATTTAACTTGGTTGTTTTATGATATGATAGTGTAAACATATGACAAGAATTAAGCTAGTGAGATAAATTTTATATGTGGAACATTTCTCAAATAAGAAATGTAACTATTTTAATGGTATGTTTGACAAATTTTGTTTTCTTGAGATTGGTGAAAAACAGCCACTATCTTAAACACTAAAAACCTAAATTAGGTCACTTGATCTTAGGTTAGAAGTTCTAAAATAATTGCACTATCTGGAAAGATATGCATATCTAACTAAATTTTTAGTCTTCATTCTTCTTTTTAAATGTTACTCAGAATGACTGAGTAATGTCATTGTAACAGTTTATGGATGCCTGCAAAACTTGTACACAAGAAGACTATAAATTTAATCTTCTTTTCTATTTGCTATAACTATTAGAGATCTTTATTTTGTTCTAGCTCTTATATGTTCTTCAGTTTTAAGTATTTTAATTTTACCTAAGATTTATAAAACTAAGCTTCTAGTCTAAACTCTATCACTTACTAAGTATTTGCTCTTATGAAAGACATAAGTAATATTTCTGTGCATCAATCTTCCATGAGGAATTGGAAATTAGAATAGCTCTAAGGTTTCTCCTGATCTTGAAATGCTGTTAGTAGTCATCACTATTTCCATCAAATGATACTATCTATGATAAAATTTGAATAAGGAATTCCTACTTAAAAAATCTTATGATTCTTTTTCTGAGAATCTTTAGCCAGATTATTAAACATCTTTAATATCCTTTTCCTTTCCTTTTTTGGTTCCATTTCTATTTTTAGCAGCACATGTCTGTTGTATATAACAACTGTATCCATTGTGGGAAGTTGCTACATGTACATACGCTCTTAATTCTTGTTTTGTACCCTTCCTTTCTCGTGCTTACTCTATCTCTCCATCTCATGGTCGCCTTCCCTCTAGGAAAATATCTATCTCCCTATTTCCTAGTATCTATCTTTTATTTTGCTCTTTATTTACATTTTGAGTTTCTCATAGAAAGGAAATCATGTGATTCTTAAACTTGTGTGTCTGATTTATTTCACTTAACATTACGGTTTTGAAATGCATCCATTTTTCTACAAATGAGTCGTTTGTCCTTCTTTAAGACACAATATTAAAGTTAGGAAGCTCATTAATCAGATTCTTTCAAAGCTGGACACAGTCAAAGTCACTAGAATCTCTATATGATTTTGATGTGTTTAAAATTCCAGATCCATATTTTGGGTTTCTTTTTTTTTTTCCAGGACCGGGAATCGAACTTACGACCTTGTGCTTGCCAGGCAGGCGCTGTGCCGCTGAGCTAAATCCCCAGCCCCTATTTTGGGTTTCTTATACAAGATTGCAAACATATGCCAATAAGAATAAATTAATAAATAAACATTAAATGAATAAAATTCACATCTAATGTTGGAATTGTACATAAGGGAATTTGTATGCTGTATGCAATATCTCTCCTATAATGCATGATGTGTTTAGCATAATGCCAGAACTTATGCAGTAAGACGCACATATTAAAAATTAAACAAAATCAAGAATAGTATTTGGCTTGTTAACCAATTATTCCCCAATATACTGTTGCTTGCCATGATCATCTAAGAATAATTATATTATTAAAACAAATTATGTAAGATGAAATGAGAATGAAAATGCCATATCTTAAATCATGAGTATAAATTGCTATAAACTATGTAAGAATGTCATAAGTGAGCTACAATGAATTAATTAAAGTTGACAAAATATAATGCTTTATACCTGATTTTACAACCTGTGAGACCTCCTGCCCTGTTATGTGCGCCATATGTCCTAATATAGAAAAAATAGCAAATCCAGCAAAGACGCTAGTGAGACAGTTTGCTACACAAACTACAATCGCATCAGAAAAGCAGTTGTTATTAAACTTATTGTAGGATGACAATGCGACTAAGCCACCCCATGCGACTGAAAGCGAGTAAAATATTTGAGTGGCAGCATCTTTCCAAACCTGCAAGAGAAAATTAAGATTTTAAAACAATATACTCTGAATTTTTTTGTGTTTATAAAATATTCCCATATAAGTAGGAATATATACTATAAAACAATGAACACCTAAGTGTCCACTACCCAGCTTAAGAAATAAACCAGTGTTTTAAAGCCTCCTTGTACCTCATCCTGATTATATCACCCTTCTACCCTCCAGTGGTAACTGCAATTCCAATTTTGGTGTTTATCACTTTCTTATTCTTTTTTATATTTAGTTTGGCTATTTTTGAATTTATAGAAAAGTTATTGCATGTGAATTTATATAACATGCTTTTTCATTCATTATTATGAGATTTATTCATTATCCAGTTAAGGCACATGAATTTTCAATTTAATTCAAAAATGAAGAATATAAGCAAATTCATGTGGTTAAACTGAAATGTGTAGTTTGAATCATTTTTTAAGTTTTATATTGTCACACTGTATACACTACAGTTTATTCTTTCCCCTGGTAATGGGCATTAGGCTGCTTAATATTTTGTTATGTATCTGCCAACATTCTTGTTCATGTCTCTTTATCATCTAGGTGGGCAAGTGTGATATTAAAGAGTATAAGCATCCTATCCTTTGCCAAATCTTTCTGAATTATTCTCCAAACTGGTTGTACCACTTTGTAATCCCACTAGATGGTTATGAGATGTCCCATTTATCTATAACTTCATCAACACTTAGAATTTTAATTTGACTCACTCTAGTGGCTGTGAAATGAGATTTGAGTACTGTCATTTTCTATAGGACTTTTTCCCTGAGTTCCTGTTCATATATTTTGCAATTTTTTAAGTTATTTGCCTTGACTTCAAGAATCCCTTGTGTATTTAGATTCTCATCATTTGTCTGTTACATCTGTTAATATTTTCCTCCAATTTGTGTTTGTTTTTCACTTCTTTGCATTGTGTCTGTTATGGTTTGTATCTGGATGTCCCCTAAAGCCTCATGCAGTCATGGGGCGGGCTTCTAGATTTATGATTCATTTATGGTTCATTGTTGGAATTACAGATGTGAGTGTTACACCTGCCCTGGGGTCGGTAGTTTGCATACAGTGTAAGGGAGGGAAAGAGGCTGCCTGACACCCCTCCTCCATTTTGCTCTTGTTGCCTTTGCTGTTTTCTGCTGCCATGAGTGTTCGCCCTCTAATATGTGCCACTCTGCCTTGGAGCCAGCCCAGTATGGACTTAGACCTCCACAAACTGTAAGCTAAATAAACGTTTCCTCCCTTAATTTTAGGCGTTGGGTATTTTGTCTCAGTAACGAGAGAAAAATAACCAAGACAGTGTCCTTTAGTGAATCAAAGACTTTGTATAATGTAGCTGAAGTTTCACTTCTTTACTTATGTATGTGGTACTTGATCTTTGTTACTTAGAAAATATTTAGCCAAAGGTTATGAAGACATTATTCTATATCTTCTTCTAAGAGAAAAAAATTGCTTACGTTGTTAAAACTTCAATTCATCTTAAACTGTGACTCAATAGGAGCTAGAGTTATGCATGGCAGTTGTGGATTGCATACAAATGCTACTGCATAATATGATGAGTACATAGTTTGCCAAAGAGCACTGATCAAAGTTCCAAACAAAATTTTAACCTCCTTACCTATCAATTTTGTAACTATACATAAGATTATTAGATTAAGTATTAGGGAATTTTAAATCGAGTTGCACTAGTTGGCTGTGTACACGTGTCTAATCTTTGAATCTTTCTGAGTCTCAGTTTCATCAATTTCACCATAAAATGAAAGTGTTAGTGAAATAACCTCGGAAGTCTCACTATAAATTTGCATGGTTCTTTACCTTCCTGAAGATCTCAGTACAATTCAGATAGTCAAAGTGAAGGAAAAATATACACTCTTGATTTCATACTTAAAATATAGATCATCAGGAGTAAAAAAGATGTAAGAAAAAGAACTCTAATTACCAGAAAACCCAACAGAAGAGTGGAGTAGTGTTGTGCTGGACCATGAAGGGTTGAGAGGATTAAATTTTACATTTCATCTGGATGAAATTTTAATTGTTCAATTGTATGCAGCTCTGATATTTTTAAATAATAGAGAAACTGAAACATAAAGCTATATAAAATGGTCATATGCATTTCTCAGACAGTTTTCTGTAAATATAAAGCCCAGGTGTCTGAGGCTTGTAAGTAACGGATAAATTTGAATTTGAGATTCTGTTAGGTTGTCAAAGGGCTTTTCTTTTCCTTTAGTTCTTATTTTATTGGTACATGTTTGCAGTACAAAATGATTATATTCCTTGTGGAAGGTTGGTACATGCACATAACACATTTCATTCTTTTTTCATGCCTTTCTCCTCCCCCGACCCTTCTATAGATCTTTTGCAAAAGGGAAGGGAACTAATGGGCTTTTCAACTGTGTTGAGAATAATCACTTTTAAAGAAAATGGTGGCCTAGTTCTTAGAGGAACTGTTGCAACTATAATACGATAGTATAATAACAGTATTTAAAGTAATTACGTATTAGGTCATGTTTATATGAATTGACCATTTCCAAAGTGCATTAACTTACTTTATCTTATTCAACAATGTGACAGAATCTCAAATTCCAGTTATCTGTTACTTACTCACCACTAAAATAATGTTTGAGTTGGGAAAAGACTAACAATATAAGTGAAGCTCAAGATAAAGAAATGCATTAAGATGGCAAGGGACACATCAGACACATTAATCTCCAAAACAATAACAACATGTTATGGTTCTAAACAATTTAGAGTTATGAATAATCATTGAGTAAAAGTTTTTGAGCACAATTAGAGGAACCAAAGACCAGAAATACACATTTCAGTTTTCAAAAAAATGTTAATAACAAATTCCTGTGAGCAAAGCTGACAAACTTGTCATTTAACACTCAAAAACTTCTACAACAAATAACCACATATCTCATTGTATTTAGAAATGAAAATATCAAAGGCTGGAGATTATTATTGTTTCTGCAGAGAACACCATAACAAATTAAAATTCATATCCATTTTGGTCACCATTACTAGTATGGGAGAAAACATTACTATAGTTTTTCTTGGCTTTAACGTAAGACTGTAAGTTTTTAACTGACTCGATGATTTATATGTGCCAAGAATGTGATTTAAATGAGTACTGTAAATGTTAAATATACTTAGGCTGTATCAATACAAGCATAGTATCTAGAATACACCTATTGTTAATCCACACTGCAGCTACAATTTTAGAAGATTTTATGTCCCCATGACACACAGGTATCATCTGGAAATAGACTGCATTTACAAGAGAGCTACCCAATTAATATCTATGGCAGTTGTTTATGTTTCTAGGATAATTAACAGTTTTCTTTATGGAATATTTAATCCATTTCAATTTTTTTGTACTGACTTTTGGTACATTGACTTTTGAAGACAATTAAAAATATATTAGATTATTAAACTTTGAACAATAATTTTTACTGCTACTATGAGTTTATTCAATGAATCACATAGTCCTAACCAAAACTGGGAAGATATTTATGCAGTATTCTTTTTCAAAATAATAAAATCTACATTCTGTTGATCAAAAAGAACCAGTGGTATGAATAAAATGACTTTTGACATCTTTTTGTGAAAAAATTATCTTATGTCCAGTATGAGAGCATCAGTGTCAGGTTATATATGTAATTAGACATCCTAGTGGACAGAAACTCTAATGAATTTAACTGCATATTCTTTTTGCAAGCTACTATATCATCATACGCAGAGGAAAACAAAGAGTTGCAGTATTTGATTTCAAGGTTTACCTCCTCAGATAATTTTAAACCAAAGTAAAGTCCTACCTCTGCTTCCAAAAGCTTACTGAAGTCAGATTCTGCTCCGATGTAGTATGCAAGTCCTTTTGAGGCTCCTTCTAGAGTTATACCTCGTATTAAAAGAATGGTTAAAACGACATAAGGAAAAAGGGCTGTAAAATATACCACCTGCCAAGAAAAACATCAAAAATTAGTGTTATTTTAAATCGTGGTATATAATTGTAGACAAGTAAATTTTTAGCCAGTTTATACAGTCAAACTACTGAGATTTTATGTTATTAGTAAGTCTGAATATATCAATACCAAAGTTGGTATAATTTCCAATTTCTGTTCTCACTACTCTCAAATGATCCATTTCCAAAATCACTTTGATGCATGAAGTAATATTTCCTAGGTTCATGTTGTAAATAAACAATACATCCGCCGTGATAACTTTGGATCTAGATTAAATGTTTTCTTAAATATAGCCTTATAGCCGGGTGTGGTGGCACATGTCTGCAATCCCAGTGGTTGGGAGGTCAAGGCGGGAGGATCAGTGTGAGTTTGCTGCCAGCCTGGGCTACAAAGTAAAGTTCAAGGCCAGCCTGAACTACATAATGAGATGCTGTCCCAAAAAGACAAAAGAAAAAAAAATAGCCTTATAAATGTCTGATTGAACTGAATGGAACATCTTTTGGCATATTATTGTATCAAGGCATGAAGGAAAATTATTTTAAAACCTGCAATGCTTAGCATATATTAAGTCTCCAAAGAAAAGGAAAATATCTCCTACTAGATATCCAAATCCCATGAAAGCTTTATTAAAGTGCATATGAACACTTGTTATTTAAGCTCCCATTATGACAGTTTGACAGCACACACTCTAGTGTGCTGCTTCTGAAAACACAGGGTTCCAGATGAACAGATTGCCTTTGAGGCTGGCTTTTCATTAATGCGGATGGATTTTGATTCATAGCTGTCCTGTGTTTGATAATATCCCCAGGGAGATGATTTAAGCAAGTCACCCAGAGACCAATAAAAAATAATTGCCTAGATAAATGGCCTTTAGTGGACTCTCCCAATATTAACATCAAAAAGGATCCAAAGCTCTCAGAAATGTGCAACTGTTAGGAAATTTCCACTGGGTTTGTGGTGCTCACATTATTTTGGTGATATAACAGCATGTTTCATTACAACTTAACATTAACTGAATGTGCTAGGTGTTGTCATAGAAATACAAACTCAATAGTCACAGGATCTATGTCCTTCACCTTTCAGATAAATTTACACTAGTAGTTAAACACACACACACACACACACACACACACACACAAACACACACACACTCCAGTAATCCTATCCTTTGGGAGGCTGAGGCAGGAGCATTACTGAAAGTCTGAGGTCAGCCTGGGCTGCATAGTGAGTTCAAGCCTGGCCTGAACTACATAGTGAGACCCTCTCTTAAAATCAACAAACAAAAAAAAGACGCATAAACATTCACTCTTCTTGGTACTGTGAAACTTCTCACAGAGAAAATTACATGTTTTCTGAATTTGCCACTGTGGGATACAGCTCACTGGCACAAGTGCCTGCCTGGCAAGTGCAAAGTCCTGAGTTCAATTCCCAGTATGAAAAAAATAATAAAAAATTAATTAAATTTGTCATTGTGTTCTCAGAAAGTTTAAAACTAAAGCAATTAATAGATAAAATGGAATATTTTTCAGAAGAGCAGGTTCACTGAGAGAACAGGTTCTGAGTCAATTTTGGAAAACTTTTATGTAAGAGACTAATTGCATACTATTTTTACTCTCTCCAGCAAAGGGAATCCTGGTACTATTATTTTATATAACAGTAATGTAGACTTTCCAGTAGTGGATCAGAAAATTTTAAAACATACTCAGAAATCTCAGAATGCTGAATCAAGTATTGAGGTCTGAGTTTTGGGTAATGCTTAAATCCAGTATTAATTTTTGTTTGTTCTGTTTCTAACAGTAGCTGTAGTCCTATTTACTTAAAACTAAGATGCCTCCTTAGAAAGCTTTCAGTATCTTTAAATATTACCATTATAGATAAACCATGCATTTGACAATGCTTGACATTTAACAATGAAGTCAAAAGGCAGTTACATCCCTACCTAATGTGTGTTACTAATTACCTTTCCAGAAGTCTTTATTCCTTTCATTACAGAAGCTCCTACAATGATCCAGGCCAGCAAGAGGCACAGTGCTAAATACCATACAATGTGTCCAGTCTCGTCTATTCCACTTGATCGCTGAAGCGCCACTTTGCTAAAATACAGAAACTCTTTTATGAACACAGAATTGCTTGTCTAAAAAGATGAATTATGAAATATGTTTCATCCAAGAGGAAGCTCTATGAGTACTGTATATTAATATCAATGTTCTGTGAGCCTTTTACTAATATATGCTACTGTATAAAAGGACAAAAAGCCAAGCTCTGAACCTCAGGGATAACCACAGCAAATTGAAATTTCAAAATTTCTAATAACCCCCTAATATGTCAAGCTCCTTTATTTAAAGAAATTAACCTTATGGCAGATGACTTCATTTGACTCAGTACAGTATTTTTCTCAAGTTAAAATAATGAATAAAATACTTAAAATTATATTATTTATTCCCTACTTACAAATATTAGTAAACTCAAATGGCCCCATTATTTCCATCTTTTTCAGTCTTTCTATAAGACTCCATGATTTTCATTAGCAGTGTACATGGATCTGTAATCTTAGTTCTTACCTTTATGTTTTGGAGCATTTCAATCTTAAAAATTTTTTCAGTTCACATTATAGAATACAGTATAGAGGTTCCTCACAAAATTAAAATGTAGATCTACCATATAACCTAGCAATCCTACTATTGGGTATATATCCAAAAAAATGAAATATGTGCATCAAAAAGACATCTGCACTACCAAGTTCTTTGCAGCACTATTTATAATATAAAAGAAATGGAAAAAACAACAATCGAAGTGTCCATGAACTGATGAATGTATAAAGAAAGTATCACACATAATGGAATATTTTCTATCATGCAAAGAATGAAATGCTATCATTTGTGATATGGATGGAACTAGAGAGTGTTATTTGAAATGAAATAAACCAGGCACAGAATAATAAAGTACCACATGATCTCACACATATATGGAATCTAAAAAAGATGATCTCATGTGAGTTTAAAATAGAACAATGATTACCAGAAGTGGGGGAAATGGGGAATGGGAATGGGGAAAGGTTGATCAGTAGGCGCTAAGTAACAGATTGGATCAATAAGTTCTAGTATACTATTGTACAGAAAGATGATGATGATAACTATGTACTGTACATTTCAAAAGCTACCAGAAAGCATTTTTGGAAATTTTTCACAAAAAAGAAATGGCAAATGTTTAAGGACATAAGTATATTTAACCTGATATAAACATTATACAAAATACACATTAATACACATATTTTTTTGTTTCAGTGTGTTAGTTAAATAAATGTTTCAGAAGTTACAGAGGGCAGTCACATGTGGATGAAGGAGAGTTCGGTTAATATTAGACTCAAAGCTACTAGGTAAAGGTAATGAGTGGGCATAAAAAAGGATGATTTAAAATTAGTAAAATGTAAATATAACCCTATATACCTATTCTTATCATACAATGGCAATAGTATGCAAAGTAGCTATTGAAGAAATACTGCCTGCACAGTTTTGCTCCCCCTAATGTTTCTCATTATCCAACTGTTTATCAATAAAATTTTCTCCTTTAGTTGAAATGTTTTCTTATAAAAAAAACTCATAGCATAGGAAGTCTTAAATAAATCATTACGGTATTGTGGTCACTGGACAACCAATTTATAAAAAAACACATTATTAACAAGGTCCTAGGCCCGGAAGGAGGGCCCCTGGCACCCGGGAAGCCACGCGGTGGGGAGCACCGGCCCCAGCCTTGCAAGCACCTGGGAGGAGGGCCCCCGGAGCCCGGGAAGCCGTACAACAGGGAGCGCCGGCCCTTAGGCCGGCCGCTGCCACACAATTCAGAGCTATCATGGCACAGAGAAGCAATGACACAATTAGCCCACCACGCACTGGCTGCAGAGGCCCGCCCGTGGACGTGGGGGAATCATTCCAACATGTAGAAACCCCTGGGAATATATGCCACAGAACAAGTCACTCTTGCCCTTGCCGTTGAGAACCAGAAAGGTCCAGAGTCAGCAGAGGAGCAGCTGCTGAACAAGGACTCGGAGAACATGAGAGTACACACTAAGCCCAAAGAGTCAGAGGTCTAGTGGACTGGGGTCATGAGAGCCATTTGGAAGCTGTAAACCAGGAGGACCTTGCCCAATACCTGGGGAGATCCCCTGGAAGCCATTCTTCCCCTGACAGTACAGGCTGTGGTGGAGGAGTGCGTGGAGCTCCGCAGAGGTCTGCAGCAAGATTCTTGCTTCCTGTGCTGACAGTTGGAGGGAGGACACTAACTGGTTGTGGGGTCCCAATGAGATGGGAGGCTGGAGAGAAAAAGCTACAAAGAATGGTTTTTGCCCCAGATGGCTGACTTGAGATGTTAGTAAGAATTGCCTCCTCAGTATTCTATAGCTGTGATGAGGAGGAAGCCAAGGAGAGAAAGCAAAGAGACTGAGAAAAAGCAGCTGCTTTTGCTGCAGCACTAAGAGAAACAGACCCCAAATCTGATTCCTGGGGCCCCAAGAAGAATTTGATGACTGCATTCATCTGCTACCACTATTAAAAGCCAGGTCACCTCAAGAGGAACTGCCCTAAGAGGCTCCCTGGGCCATGCTCTTAATGCAAAGATGACCACTGGCTATCGATCTGCCCTCTGAAGTGGAGGCCCCAGAGCTCAGACCCATCCTATCACTTAGTCCAACAGAAATGAGGGGACCCAGGGCATACTCTGCCTCCTCCCTCTGACCAGACCGTCATCTCCATGGAGAAGCCCCAGGTAATCATGACTATGGAAGAACAAGAAAACAGCCTGTTGCTAGTCACAGGTTCAAGTCTCTCGGTCCTTCTTTTCAATCCTGGCCTTCCTTCCAGCCATCACACCTCAGTGAAAGGAGTCACTGGTGAGGAGGTAATACGCTATTTTTGACAACCCTTAGGCTGTAACTACTTGTTAGATCCTTCTTGCATATCTCTGTCTTCTTGAGAAAACCACTTTGAAGATACCACCATGTATGCAGCCATTGATATTTTCCTACTAATCTATCCATAACTCTGTAAAGTTTGTATTGTTCCTATAGCATTTCATAAATGGATGTATGTTTATTATTATTTGTTTCCTACAACAACCATTGAGAATAGTTAATGATTATTCAATAGGTCACTCATGTATAGCTCTATTTTCTTTAGAAGCCACTTTGAAGATACCTAAGTACAGTGCAACAACTATTGATAATCTCCTACCTCTTTTGTCTGTAACTCACTATTATTTGTCTATTTGTTTTCCCAAGAAACTATCTTGTAGATAACAATATGTAAAACAATAACCATTGATAATTTCCTACCACTTTTTCTGTAATTTGGTAAGCCCCCCATTATTATGTTATCCTTCTTTTACTCGTTAAAATAAAATTAAAAAAAAAACAAGGTCCTAGTCTTGCAAATAATTACTGCTCACCTAGCATATATAAATATTTGAATCAAAAGAAATATAATTCCCTATGATTTCTATTTTTTCAACTTATGTGAGTTAAGATGGACAATGGCCAAAATATCGTTGTCACTTATTATGAAAAGCATTTCAATAACATCTATTTCAGAAGTGAATCACTTACTTCCAATATTGTTCGCTCGGAAGTTGTCCTGGCTGGTAAATGTGAGTGCCATTAATACACGTTAAATTGTTGGCATATATGTAGCTCCTATTCACTTGGGTAATCTCTCCTGTCCCCATTATTACATCACAGTGGGTGACTGAAGATGATAAAAGAAGAAATACAGAAACAGCTTTGTATTTAGTTCTAAAGGGGTACTTCCTGGGGAAAAAGTTTCAGTGGTAAAATGTTTATTTAAACTACTGTTTAAATTGTTACTTTGTGAAAGTAGAGTAAAAATAATTCACAAATACAGTAAACTACTTTCACTCAATATCTTAAATATTCTCTACTATTAAGCTAAGAATGAGTATAATGCTATTCACCCCTTTTAAATATATTGGTATTTACAATAACAGGTATATAACAACTTTTTTGGTCGATGTTTGATGCTTTAAAGAACTTTCTGTAGGTTTGGTGCTCTAAAGAACTATCTAATCTACATAGACAAATTGATGCTTTAAAATTTCTCAAAAGCATTAAATTTTTATAACTTTATCTTCTGATGTGTAACCTGGTAACAGCCTGCAATCGTGATGCTACATGATCCCAAAGATTGTTAGTATATTGACATGGGCAGCATTCACTGTTTCCTGAAGCACACACTTCTGTGATTATGGATAGTACTTCTCTGTCTTTATCACTTTCTCTTTGTCTTATTTCTTTCCTGGTCAAGACTTATGCCTGAAAGATGCTCTCCTCACTGTGGTTTAGCATTCTTGGTTCCCCTCAAAGATTCAGATTATATATGCTGTATTCTGCTTTAGTTAATGACCTATGAACCCTTTAAAATTGCACCAAAATTACTTAGAAAATGATTTAAATCCTTTAAGTGTATTTAGAAGAAATGATGTAGAGTTCATAATACCTTAAAAATTAGCCAATGAAATTTACCTATGGGTGTTGAGCTGCAGTTTTCATCTGCCCAAGGGGGCGAGCAGAATTTCCAGGGCAGTGAAGATTGTAATGAAGCAAACAGATAGTAAATGCTGTATGCAATTATGACATTATAATATATTGAGACAAAGACCGATATTAGAACCATTGTGATTCCAATGCCTGGTAAAGAGAACAACAAAAATATACTCAAATGAAATTTGTTTTGCTAATCATTATACAATTCCATCTCAATTTCCACAGTGTCTATTTAAATTTTTAAAAAGGTTTCAAAAAACTGTTTTCTTCTTTTTTGAGGAGGAAAAGCATACTCTCCAAGTAGCTTTCTTCCAATTTTAAAAACTATTTTGACAATTGGTTTCCTAAGAAAATTCTTCAGTTCTTTAAAAAAGATAATAAGGCTAAGGAAAAAGACCTGCTTTAAGCAATGAGCTTCACGAAAAACATGTATCTGTTACTGTTTTGTATTAAGTCTGTGAATTCTTGTCACAGTGGGGACATTGGGCAATTTTTAAAGTCAAACTTGGATCTACTGGAACAGTGACCAATGCTTCCATGTGCATCGCTAAACCTACATTTTGACATGGAGAAAATGAAGCCTTTGCATTAATGTCTTGAAAAGACACAGTAGAGTATTTCTGCAAATATAGGTAAATAAAACTCAGCAATTCAGTAACAATCTGAATTTAAGCATCCAAAATTTAATTCAGTAGTTTCAAAATTAAGTTTAGCATGTTAAATATAAATTCTAAGCTTAAGACTAGCCTTTTAGGTAACTTCTCCAATCTTGCAGTACAATATTCTATTCACCTCACTAGGAATTTATTTTTATGTCATATTGAAAATCTTCCAAATAGTTTTGAGCAGGTAGCACATTCCAAAATGGTATTTAATCATTGGAAAATAGCAGTTTGATGTTTAATAACAATAGAGGCATTTTTCAGCTTTAGCAGTGTCCTAGTCTATTAGAAGCATAGAAGAAAGAATGGTGACTTGATTTTCAACTTTTCTGAAAGAGGATTTTTATAATATGCGTAAAGGTAGTAAGACAAAGACTGTATATGAGGTACTTAAAAAGCCAGAGTATCAATAAAATAAAAGCTGTTGAAAGTCAGAGCCGATGAACTTAATGCACAACAAGCTATGTGTCAAAATAATTTAAAAATGAAATCAGGACAATACATAATGACACTCGTACAAACATCTCTAGTGTCCTTCTTAAGCCTTGCCATACTCTCAGTCAGGTTAAACAAATAAAACTAACATCTGATTTTCAAATTCTATGGTGTCAAACTATACAGAGAAACAATAAGTAAGCTCCTTTGCTTTAAACTACCAGAATATTATTTGAATTTTTATTTTTAATCAACAGATAATCTTGTATTTTTCATGTACACCATGAATTTTCAAGTATAGATACGTAGCGGAATGGGTAACTTTATCTAATTAAAAAATTCATTGCCTCACACAGCTATTGCTCCAGTTTTAGTATATGTGCTGCTGAAGCAAGCATACATAGCTATCATTTAATTGTTGGAAACACTAAATACCTACTCTGTATTTTCAAGAGCACGATATGTTGCCATAACTATGGTTAACAAACTCTCACTCTTGAGTTTGTAAACTTGTAGGTTATAGGTCTTGTGAAATCATTTCTCCTATCTAGCTGTAACCTTATATCCTTTGCCCAGCACCCTTCCCTTCTATCTAGTTATCCCATCCTCTGGTAACAGCCATTCTGTTCTCAGCTTCTATGCAGTCAAATACATTACATTTTAAACATTTCTTCACTATGTGGTGAAGACAGCTATACTCAGACATCAAGCAATAAACATGATAACATTTTAATACCAACCCTGCAACAACGGCACACTCCGCCACACCATCACAGGCCCCTGACTCACAAACTGACCCAATGAACATTCCAGAAAAAACAGAGGTAATCCAGCAAAAATCAGCATAATCGTATATGGTATTAGAAATGCACCTAGAAAAGGCAAAAAAGGACAAAAGTACTGTTACATTCTAAATTTTGATGGCACCTTGACAACCAGTATATTCTGAAAGTCTCCTGTTATGCTGGAGTCAGAATGTGCTAGGTTTGGTCCTCAAATTTAATATTTTTCCATGAGACAGTAGCTGACTCTCTAAACCCTAGATTTCTCATCCATGAAATGAGGGTGATAGCATTATCTAGTGAAATTGTTGCAAATATTAAAAACAATAGCTGAAAAAATTAAGACATAGGATGTGAATGTTTACAACCTGTGGAGTTCAAAGGGCCTAGTTTAAAATGCTGCGGCACTATTTCCTATTCATGTGACCTGGAGTAATTTACCCAAACCCTAAACCTTACGTTCCTCATCAAAGGGGAGCTTCATACAAACTCATCAGTTTCCAGTAAGGGTTCAAACACTAGGCTTAAATGGAAACACTTGGCAATTTTGTTATTTTGTTTTTGATGTTTTCTCTTTAAAATTAAAGAAAAAATATATATGCATACACAAGGATAGCTGGGATAGTTGTGTTGCTGATCTCTACTGGTTTATTGAAAGGAACAGTTAATGCTTAAATTGCTTTTTTTCTTTTCTCTTGACCAATTTTGCACGCATATATCTAGTAATCGGAACAACTAGTCTGAAGACAACAGTATGCAATTAATTACCTTTTAATTATTTTTCCACACTTAAATTTACCAAAATCTAATGCCTATTCTACTAAATCAAACAATTTATTTCAAATTTTTAATAGAACTATATTTCCCTGTTTTTCCCTTGGATTCATCGATAAATTAAACAAAGCAAGCTGGGCGTGGTGGCGCACACCTGTAATCCCAGCACTTGGGAGGCTGAGGCAGGAGGATCGTTGTGAGTTCGAGACCAACCTGAGCTATATAGTGAGCTCAAGGCCAGCCTGAACTGCATAGCGAGACCCTGCCTCAAAAAGACTAAATAAACAAAACATCACTTGAGTCTGAATAGAATACCACAAAAATATGCATAATTTTTTAAAGTCCTAGTTGAAGATTTCATGGGATGTCAAGTCAGAAGCCCGGGAGTAAAAAGCTTTTATGAAGTTTATATCTGGGCACTTTTTGAAGCCATATTCCTAACCTGAGATAGTAGTTTACAGTCTAATAATAAATGTAACATGCTTTTTTCTCCTCTTCCATTGTATACTTTTTTTTCCCCCTCTCAAAATACCCTCAGAGACTATATGGTACCCCAATTACTACTAGAGGAAAAAGAAAAATGCCAAAAGGTTACCTCCACCATTGCTGTAAGTCAGATATGGAAACCGCCAGACATTTCCCAGCCCCACTGCATATCCAATCATAGACAGAAGATAATCTGATTTTCGTGACCAGTTACCACGCACTGAATTCTCATCATTTTCATCATTTTGGTCAGCAGGTTGGTCAGCTTGTTGATCAGCGTGTTGGTCGGCTGGTTGGTGGGTGGGTTGGTCAGCTGGTGGGTGGGTGGATTGGTTGACTGGTTGGTGGGTGGGTTGGTCTGCTGGTTTGTTGGCTGGTTGGTTGTCGGGCAGCTCTTCCTGTAGAGGCTCCACTTTCTGAGGAGAAAAAAGGAACAACATATTGTCTTTCTACTATAACAAACCCCAAAGAAACAAATTTCACAGAAATGGAAGAAGAGAAAGAACAAAGCCTGAACACTGTATCTGAGAGGGGAAAAAAACCTGAAATTGGGGATGTTTCTGCTTATGGACACTTACATAACACTTTCTTGAAATAAACAAATTCTATTGGTAAATATATTTACTGGCCCTTCAGCTGAGACCACCCGAATGTTAATGAAAAGGTCAGATGTTGTGCCAACATGCAGGGCGAGCAAAAGTGGACAAATCAGTTTTCAAATATAAAAGCTTTAAGGATGAGTAGGAAAAATGAACACACTTGAGATTGTAACCAATCTTTGAAAAGAAGGATAAAATGTACCTTCTACTGGAGTAAAAAAATTACACAGCCCTTTCCTTATGTGCTGAGACTTTTTGGATGTTTGGAGTAAAGGGAATTTTAACTGTCCTCCCTGTGCTGGAGCAAAATAAGTCCTTTTCTAAAAGCCACAGCATCATATACAGAGACAAATTTTTCTGTTCCATCAGGTGGAGCAGCTCTCTCTCCACTTCTGGAGGTAAGAGGAGAGGGGTTCCTTCCCAACCTGTCAGCTGCTCCGGGCATGAAAGTTTCCTCTTGTGAAGTAAGGACAGTGCACTTCTGTGCTTCCCTGCAGCACACGGGCAAGCTCTAGAGAAGTACAGAGAACAGGGTTTTTTGGGCACTCACAAGGCAAAGCTGAGGTAGTCCTGTTACCTGGCTCCTAAAATAAGAGCTCTTCTCTCTTTCCTCTACTCTACAGAGTCATTTTAGGCACACTTGAAAATAGTTAAGCAGAAATTTGGAGAACGGGGAGCAGCCACAGCAAGGGAAAAAGAGAGATTAACCCTCCCTGTTCAGCATTCTCTTCTTGTGCCCTCCACACCTCCAGCAGCTCCTAGACCCCTACCTCCTTTTCCTTGCACCTGAAGAAACTCGGGCACTTCAATTTGTCCATGGTTCACTGACTCTCTCTGCTTGCTCCACCTTGCCTCTTCTTACAGTCTGGCTGAGCTTGACGGGTGGCAGGTGCACACTCCTCCGTTGTAACCGACCAGAGTAAGCCACCTTGCCCAGGGGTGGGACTATTTATGGAGGGAAGCTCTCCCTCACCCCTCCTCCCGGGAGCACAGTCGTGTCAATTACCGGAAGGCACCAAAGTGAGGCTCTGGTTTTTTTCCTCAGGTAATCCTGCGTGCAGCAATTCCCTGCCTTGGCCCCAGGAAAGGGCTGGGCTGTGAAGGAGTGGAGCAACCAGAGCCAGATGACTGACAGCCTTTGACTCAGAGCTATTAAGGTGCCTTAGAAATCTTGTCTCCTTTCCTGGATTTCCCACTTCCTTCTCACCTTGCCTCTCAGTGTAGTCTCTGTCCTGAGGCCAAGTGCTGATCTCCCCTGGTGTTGGAGACAGAATGGACACTGCCCATGGGATCCATTCTGCTCACAAAGATTCCTCTGCACACACCATACTGCCCTAGGCCCATTTCCCAAAGTTTTGCCCCTCATTAGAAAGTTCTTCATTCCCCAGGGCAAATGCTGCTCCCAAAGGGAAAGCCCCTGAACTGGGCACCTTGAAAAGCAGCCAGCTAAGATAATATTACTCAGCCGGCTCTGCCTGAAAAGACCAACTTTGAGTCTATGTCTCAGGCTTCTTTCTCAGCCTTCAGGACAGTTTTGCCTTTTACAAGGATTGCTTTGTGTAGTATTTCAAAGAAGCCCAATACAAACAAATTGTTGAGCAGGTTTATAGGAAATTCTAACCCTAACAAAGGACTCCAGTCTGTAAAAATGGTGAGACTTAGAAAGTAAAAAAACATCCCAGCTTGACCAGGGAGGAAACATTCATTATAATGCTGTTTACTATGTAGCACATTTTCATGAAAACCTCAAAGCATTTAAACTCAATCTATGCAGTAAGAGATGGTAGCGATTCTAGAAAAAGTATTATAAATACATGCACACAGAACAATCAGCAGGGAAGCAAATTCTGTACCTTATGTATAGTTCCTTTGTTCCCTACTGGATGACAAGAATTTTCCATTTGCAATAAAAGAATGTCTTCAGGAATCTAGGCAGGTAGAAGAAAGTTCATGAAGGGATTGTGGGAAGTTGTAAGAAGAAAGTATTAAGTTTCATCTAACTAGGTCTTGAATATCAACACAGGCTGGTCTGCAGGGGAAAAGAGGGAAAAGTAAAAGAAAGAAGGAGGGAGTGAGGAAGGGAATGAGAGGGAGAGAGGAAGGGAGAGAGAGAAAGAGGCAGAGACAGAGACAGAGAGGGACAGGGAGAGATGGATCTATCAACAGGTGAAGGAATTATTAGTGTCATTTTAGACATAGAAGAGAGGGTAGAGTGAAGAGTTTATAAACCTATTTTTAAAAGGATGAGCTAAGAAACAAATCCAGTAATATCTATCAAACTATCAAGGTCCTATAGGAAGGAAAGGAACCCACCATGGACCACTTCAAGCAGCTGGTAACTGAGGGAACAGAAAGAGTAGGAATCCTAGGGGTAGAGACTGTGAGGATGAACACCCAGAGTCTGTGGTAGGCAGAGGGGAAAACCAGCAATTTCCCAGCCTGTTATACAGTAGTGAAATTCCAATAACTTTGATACTGGAGAACCCAAGGAGAATATTTAAGATAAAGGGTATTCTAGAGAACGTACATTTTTGTATGATGGGGTGTTATTCCCATTGTCAAGCATGGCTTTTTATGGCATGGCACTGCCTATTGTCTATCATCTTTTGCTGTTCTTCATCTCAAACTCTTAATATCGTGCATCTTATCCTGTATCTGTTGTTTCTCACCTCTGTGCCTTTGCTCACACTATTTCTTCTTCTGGAAATTCCCATCCTCCTCTTAATTTGGCTAAGTGCCACTCATCCTTTAAAAGTCTGCTAAAGGGTCATCTTCCCAGTTCTTTTCCTCCTGTATTACCACAGACTAGGTTTCGATGCTTCTCTTCTGTATTGTTATGCTACCTTCTATTCTGTTAACACTGAGTGAAATTATTTTCTCAGAGCCCACTAGGCTGTCAGTTCTTTGCAGGCAGAAGACTATTTTTAAATATTTTTTAAATAAAAGATGTACATATTAACAGGGTACAATACAATGTTTGTAACATATATACATTTAAATCTTAAAATCAGGTCAAACCTACTTATCTCTCCAAACATTAATTCTTTGTGGTAAAAATTTTAAAAATCATTTCTTCTAGCTTTTTGAAATACATAGTATATAATTATTATCTATAGTCACCATAAAGTGCACTAGTGCTCCAGCATTTCTTGCTCTTATCTAGTTGTAATTTTTAAAAAATATAAACCAAGTTTATTTTGCTTTTTCAATAGTGTTCTTAAAGCAGTACAGTTTGGTAAACAATGTAAATTAGTATACATCATCTCAAAAGCCAGTTTTGTTTTATTTTTCAATGAGTTGTTAAAAAGATGCAGCCTATGCTAACAGGTTAAATATTTCTAAACATTTCACTTTAAGTTAATGAAGTCTCACAAATGAGCAACACTTTAAACGCCTGTTTTAGTTACTTTCTCTTCACTAAAACACGACACCTGACACCCACAACTCTAAAGAGTAAAGGTTTACTTTGGCTCACAGTTTGTAGAGGTTTCAGTCCATAGTGCACTGACCCCATGGCAGAAGGGCATGGCAGAGGAGATGCATGCCAGAGGGAAGCAGAAGGAGATCAAGGGAGGAGGAAGGGAGATACACCCTTCCAGGCCACGCCGCCAGTGACCTACCTCCTCCCACCAGGTTTAAACATGACATTTCTTTTCTTTTCTTTTCTTTTCTTTTCTTTTGAAACAGGATCTCACTGTGTAGTTCTGGCTGGCCTTGAACCCACTATGTAGCCTAGGTTGGCCTTGGACTCAGGGCAATCCTCCTGCCTCAGCCTCGCGAGTGCTGGGATTATAGGCATGTGCCACTACACCTGGCCAACATCACATTTCATTATAAACTAATCCACTAATGAATATCATGCCCTCTTGATACGATCACTTCTTCAAAGCCCCACTTACGAGTTCATGAGTTTTCAGGAGAACATCTAGATATATACCATAAAAATGCCTCTTCCCTAAGATCTGTATGGGTGTAAAGAAATCACAGTTTAGACAACATGTACACTATGTGCCCTGCTGCATCTCATGTTGTTTGTTTGCAAGGGTTACATGCAAGGAGCTGGGATTAAGCTGATCTTTATGTGGACAATCAGTGCTGGATACTGAGGTGAAGGCTGGATTTTAATAGCTATAGCTTAGATGCAAAGATAGACCTATATTGTTTGTTAAGGCATGACAAACATAGAGTTTAGAGCCTAAGAAACACTGAGATGCTTCACTATCATATGCAATTAATTCATCTTATTTTCTAAATCTCTTTAACAAAGCCAAATCTTTGATATGTCATACCTGAAGCAAGTAGACAACAGAGCTAATTTGGCCTTTTTGTTATTTTTAGAAAGAAATAAAAATTTTCTCTCCCAGTTCAGAGCAGGTTTTCTTCAGTATAGAAATATGCATTCTTTTTATAGCACTTAAGTAATGAGTATATAAGCACTAGAGATACTCTTTAAATTATTAATATTGATGAATAAATATTTTAATTTGATCTAGTTATCTATTGTAATGATTAATGAAGGAAAATACATAGTGTTCACCCTGGATACACTAGTATTTTTTTCTTTTAAATAAATTGTAAAGTAAGATTGTCACTGGTTTGCATACACAATAATGAACTTCTATAGACTATGTGACACAGCTTTTAAATATCAGTCTTTTCAGAGAAATGAGTGCCTAACCTTTTGCTTTCACACCAAAAAAATCGTTCACTTCGTATGATCCATAGAATAATTGTTCTCGTTTACTTCTTAAATAGAAGGATGCAAAAACATAATTTCATTCTGGAACCTAGCTGAAATCCACCTACAGGCCTATGAAGTCATAAAATCAAAGAATAGTTATGTTAATACTGTATTTGTGTACAGGCATTTTCAAAATCTTTTTCTAATTAAAGTTAAACTATATCAGTACATGTTCTAAAAAAGTGGAAAAGGAAGTGCTACAAATAAAACCAATCATGTGTATATTTATTTTTCCTTGCTTGGCTGAAGCTCTTTAATGTGAAAGTAACATACAGTAGACTGTCTAGTATGTGAATATTATTTTGCAATTCTTTTCTACTTTGCCATACACAGCGGTGCTAAAAGTGAGGGGGGGGGTTGCTGAGTATCTTACTTTTCTGCAGAGTTTCCAGAGTATCTTTCTTCCACACACTTTCTTTTATTAATGAATATCATGGCAACTGATTTGTTTGTATTTTGTTACCATCAAATAATATTGTTTCTAACAACAATAATATGACTCTCTGTAACAATAATGATGACCACCACCTAAATACCAGCTGTATGTTTTTGAGTAGCTCCTGTATGCTATGCAAACTATATGTGTTTTTTACAATCATCCTAACAAATCTACCAAACAAGTACTAATGTTATCCCCACTTTTGTAGGTAAGCCAAAAGGCAAGAGAATACAAATAATTTGTCCGAAGTCATCAGACTGGAAAACGTAGGGGCTGGTATTCAGCTTCAGTGCTGCTAACAAAATCTGAGGTTTCCTCAGTTATAATATTGTGGGGAGGCTCTGCCCCACCTCAGCCTTTCTTATTTATTACTTCTTTGGCTCCTCTCAATATTCTTCCTTCTTATTGTTTACTTCTATTTGTCTCTCTTTATCCCACTCTTGCCTCACACAGTCCTTCTAAACTGTTTTTCCTTTTTTAGTAAGCTCCCCTTCCCTGCCCTTTCAGCCAGTCTCTTCTTAAAACACAAAGGGTAATTAGTATGCACTACTATCCTGAACTGATGACACCTGCCGGATATCTCAGTGCTGCAGTATAGGGATCTCTTCAAGAGACTGTTCAGTGGAGAATGGGTGATTCTGTACATAAGCCAACTGGACACATTTCAGAGGCTTTCCTATATACTATCAGAGATTAGTTTATGAAACCAGCACTAGGATCTCTGCCAGTAACTGTGGAAGGGACAAATTACAAATAAAGTGGAG